TGAAAATACGTTTAATAGGAATGTATATGTAGAGCCTATATCAGATTGCATGCTGTCTTGGAGAAGGAAGTGGGGAGGGAGGGGGAAAAATTTAAAACTCAAAAGCTTATGGAAGTGAATGTTGAAAACTAAAAATAAATTAATTTTAAAAAAATTTTTAAGGGGAAAAGGACTTTAGGATTCTCTCAAGTTATAGGATGAGCTACAGAATGAACTGCACCCCCACCCCCACCCCAGGAGGGGCAACCCTTAATATTCTGTTTAACCCCTAGGGTTGGTATCTGCATCCAAACCTAGTCTTCTCTAGTTCATTTATCCATCTCTAAACTTCAAAGAAATGCACACATATGAACATATACTGTTTGGCAGCTCAGGTGATAGGAGGGGGGAAGAAATGAGAAACCAAAAACAAAGCTGGAATTCTCCTTTGACAAAAAAAGAAAATGAGGCATGCCCAGAGAATGGAAGTAAATGCCCCAAGGTCACACAAGTTGGTGGCTGTTACTAGAACTAGGGTCTTCTAGTTCTAGTCCTAAGAGTAATCAGATGAATACTAACCTTGCTTCTGAGACGGGTCAATCAACCAACTCCCACATGACTCCTTGGGAACCCAAACCAAAAATACTCTTCCTAGGCCATTACTCTTAGGTGATGTAGTCTCCTCCAATCAGAATGTGAGCTCCAAGAGGGCAAAGACTATTTCTCTTTTGTATTACCATTCCCAAAGCTCAGCAAAAGAGAGCCCTCATGTAAATCACCAAAACATGTTTGTTTTTAACTCACTTATATTTTCCCATTGTATTCTCTGTGATTAATAAATGCTTTTTATTTATTTGTTCATTCTGACCCTTTCCACAGCTTTTTCCAGCTCACCTAACAATAACAATAATCTTCCTTTTCTATTGGTGTTTCAAAGGGCCATTCTAGCAAATAGCCCAATGAAGCAGGCGCGGACAGACTGGGCCTCAGGAGATGCTTCTGGTGGCCTCCAGACTTTTCCCATTCCCTCAGGTGTCTCTAGAGCTTTTTTGAGTCTTTCAGAGTCTCAGGGCATTTTGGACTGGTTTCAAAAGAGTGTACTGTATATACGTCCTTGGTAAAAGCGAGCATCAAAAAGATGAATATAAAGGGGTATTTTTCCCATGTCCAGGACTTTGAGTTCAAGGGTGGTGCTTACTTTGTATTAGTTAGGGAGAAGGATGAGACCAACTTAAGGTATATGGTGTAAAGGGGAATGGACTTTAGTCATCCCAATTCTACCTAGAATGAAAAAGGGGGAATTTATATTTGAACAGGCTCTCTCCAGCTGTCCGATTAAGTAGCCTGCTTCTGTCTCAGCCAGAAGTAGTTTGCTAACTAAAAAGAGCTTGAAAGGTATTGACTAGCCCTGAAGTACATGGGCCAAGGTTGTCTCATTCTCTTAGAGCAGTGACATTTTGCGGAGGAAACAGTGCTGGAGCTGGGAGCAACAGCGGCTTCGGGGTCAGTAGCAGCGAAAAACATCCTTGTTCCAACCAGGAAGCGACAGAATACTGAACTGCAGAATCTGGGACAGGGAAAAGAGCCACAATAAGAAGAAACAAACTCGAAAGTCGCTCTTTGGTATAATTATGAATCACATGGATTGTGCAGCAACCCTGAGGTCTTTCCCTTATTGGGGCTGGGGCTTCAACCTTTAAGATGGTACTGTGAGTGTGTACTAATTAACGTAGCTTCCTGTAGGAAATGAAACTGACTAGAGGAATGGACTCTTTAAGCAACCCTGAATTTATCTCCTAAACCTTAAACCTGACCTAAACCCAGAGTGGCATTTAGATTATAATTGTATAAGTTCCTAGGGAAAGTGCAGTCTCATTCATCAATGGGCAAAGTTTTCTGCTCTTCCCAAGCACCGGGTCCTTCTCCCTGCTTTCTCAAGTTCGGGACATAGCTCACAGTCTACCTCTCTATTCCAGCACCCCTAACCTTATTATGTTAGGAAACTTCAGTTTACATGTTGACGTCCCCTCAAATGCCCTTGCTTCTCAAGTCATCATTTTCCTCAACTTCCATGAACTTCACCTCAGCCACACACAAGGATGGTCATGCTGTTTGTGGATCGGTGGAAGGAGAGAAGATTTAGGGAAGACAATAGCTCGGTTCAGATACAGCTGTCCCCAGACTAGACCAAACTTCACACCCCTCCTAACCCTGTATCCTGGTCATTTTCTTGCTAACTGCCCTGAAGCCACCACAGCTACTCTCCCTAGCTCCACATCTACCTCTTGTCCTGGGAACCCTAATCAAATCAATGCTACTAATGCTTCTTGAAAAGAGAGTGTTTAAATACAAAAATAATAAAAAAAAATAAAAAAATTAATAAAAAAAAGAGAGAGTGTGCGACTTCACCCTCCTTTGGGTCTGCTCACCTTCCCTATGCTTTCCCAAGCCAAAATTCCCTTCCCTGTCCATCACTCTCTTCTATGTGCAGTCTTCTCCCCATTCGAATGTAAGCTTCTTGCAGGGATTGTCTGGATTTCATATTGGTATCCCCTGGACTTAACGGAGAGTTTGGCACGTAGTAAATGTTTCTATTTATTCATTCAACTATTTAAGGGCAGTTATACAGAAAAGTCATTAGTCTTATTCAGCTTGGTCCCTGAGGGAAGAACCAGGAATAATGGGTGGAGGTTGTAATATGGCAAATATTAAGATTCTGATATAAGTAAAAACTGATTAACATACTGGGACCCCAAGGTAGAACGGGCTGCTTCAATATGTGTGTGTGGGGGGGTGGATGCCTTGGTTAGTGAGTTGCTCCTCTCTGGAGGTGATGTGGTTTAGGGGTTCAGGGGTGCTGGGACCCCAAAATCACAACACGCGGGTCCTGCCCAAAAGAATTTGACCCAAGACTTCTTTCAGCCAAAGACAAGGTTTATTAGAACATCCATCATATCAGGCAGACCCTTATGGAGTCCGAACATGAAGAAGCATTGGCTAGATTATAAGAATCTGAGCCCTTGCTAGATTATAAGAATCTAAATAGTGGTTAGATTATAAGACTCTGAGCCATGGCTAGATTATAAGAATCTAAGCATCTTAATGGAGACAAGATGGACCTTATATACAGAAAGACTATGAGAGGGATCTAGGAGTGGCCAAGTAGTCTATGAGGTAATAGAATTCCAGGGACCTGGACCACTTGGCCAAGGGAGAATGGAGAAATGGCCTGGGGCCATAGGGAGGTCCACAATGAAAGGCTAATTGATGCGATTATAGCCTCAGGGGAACCCCAGAGATTTGGCCTTGTGGGAAAGTCCAGGGTTTTTCCTTTCTGAGGCCCAGATCCCAACCCCATCAGAGGTTTCCTGGCAAAAGCTATATGAAGTTATAAAGGAGATTTTTGTTTGCACATGGTTTGGCCCAGACGGCTCTGAGGTCCCGGGCTATGTATGAGATTTTGCAACTACAGAAGACTCAAAGGCAGCGCACTTTTCCCAAGTCTCTGAAACAAGCGAGAACAGCACGGGTTTCAGTCATTGCGTGCAACCGCCCTCCGGGCGGGAGGGGCGCTCTCCTCCTCTGGCCTTCGAGGGAGGTGAGGGGCGTGGCCCGCCCTACCGGAGCCCGCAGTGCGCCTGCGCGCCCAGCTCCGCAGCGGGCTTCTGGAGCTTAGCGGGCGGCGGACGCTGAGTGAGGGCCATGAGGAAGCTCAAGATGCACCCAAAACGTGCCCGCTGCAGGACTCCTAGCCCCCCGCCGCAGCGCGGTGCGGTGCTGGCCGAGTCAGCGAGCGCGGAGCCCGAGGACGACGCGGACCCTCAGAGCTGGAGCCCCGAGCGGCTGTGTGCCTTCCTCAGCCGCCACGGCTTCAGCAACCCCGCGCTGCTCAGCCGCTTCCAAGGTAGCGGGCGAGGATGGGGTGCTGGGGTGCTGCGCCCAACCCGGGGTCTATGCGCCTCGCCCTCCAGCTCCCCAGCCACCCAGCAGGGATCCCCCCCCATCCTCCCTCTCCAGCCAGCCACCCTCCCCCCGGCAGCCCCTCCATCTCCCGCTCCCCACCACCCCTCCAGGGATACTCTCTTCCCCATAACCCCATCACCTACCTCACCCACCCACCCACCCCAGAGACTGCTCCGACCCGTGATCATCCCCCTGGGGCTACCCCATCACCTGGTCAGCTAACCCTCCCAACCACCTGCTCCACAGGGCATTCCCCACCCCCGCCTTACTTCTCTGCCCCTCTCCATGAGCCCCCCAGGGACCTCCACGGTTACTCCCTAGTGACCTGGTCAGTGATCCTCTCCCACAGACTCCACCCTCCCCTGCGACTGCTTCCCCAGTGACCCCCACAACCTGGTTTTCGGAGACCCCCCAGGAGCCCTCCCACTCTGCGGTGACTATCCCCCTCTGACTCCCTCGGGGCCCCCATGACTTGGTCAGTGACTCCGCACTACTTGTTACTTCACTCCGTCAGCAGCCGCACTGACCCTTCGCTTCATCCTGATCCAGCGTCCACTTAGATCACCATCCCTTCATTTATCTCCATAGCGGGAGCTCTTAACCAGATCCCCCGTCCTACTCTTTGGGACTTTCTCTTTGGCCTCTCACCTGACCAATGCCCACAATGCCAGAACTGAGTCGGGGGAAGCCCCCTGCGGAGGGACGGGGCTACTTTGCTTTAGGGTGGTAGATTGTATAGGGGAGGGGAATTTGAAGTTGGGAGGCCTTCCGAGGTTGGTAAGTAGACTAAAAAGCATCCAAAAAGGGAGTGGCGTGGCATGGTGGGGGTGGGGGTGGAGGGGTGCGCTGTGTATAGTAAACTATTAATGTTTGTTGAACCAAACCAGAACGTACTAATAAAGAGTTTTTTTGCTGGGGTCACCGAGGTAGATTTACTGAGAGTGTGTTCCAGGCACAGGTGGGGATGGGACCAACTTAGTGACGTAATTATTAGTCCTGGAGGAGGATTGGGATTGTGACACATTGTTATTGCCAAGCTTGCACAAAGCTATTCCCTCCTAACCTTCTGAAGATGGACATCGAGTCATTTGCCTTATTGGTAAATAATAAATGGTAATGAATTTTATGGCTACGAGGACTTATTTACAGCCTGAGCATCTACTCTTTGACTCTGGCTGGGCCTGTTATTTGCAGAGACTCATAACGCTGACGAAATTGCTTGGAAAGAAAAAACAGTGGGTTCCACTCCCTATCGTTTGTTCTGCAGAGCACCAAGCTGGTATCTTTGCTATTGTGGTTATCTAGCAGTCTACGGCTATGCCACATCATAAGAAGTTGTGCTTTAATGGGTGTTTGTTTCTCCTTGCTCCCTAGTTTCCATTCATCGCATAGACTTTTTATTTTTATTTTTTTTAACTTTTGAGATATCTTGTTTTCCCTCTATCTTTAGCTTAGGTCCAACCCAGACCTAAGCTAAAGCTTAGAGCCAGGCTCAGGCACCTCTTGTAACAATCTTGGTTGAAATATGCCCTCTAAGTTCAGTGTCTTATCTTTTGAATTAAGTTTCTTGTCAAGCTTTGCAATCTACTTGGTTTTTTGAAGTTGGATATAAAAGCTTAGCACCCATTTTACAGCTATCAGAAGGGGAAGTTGGTGTTGGCTGGTTATGATTTGCAGCTCCAATCTTTGCATGGCCAAGAAAGAGCCCTTCCTGTGGTGGGGCCCTAAAAATAGCTGGGGGTGGGGGTGTGGAGGGGGGGAGGGGAAAACTAACAGTTCATCCTTTGTTCTCTCCTCAAATCTTTTTGTAGGGATTAGGAAATTCTGGGAGCCATTACAGCTGTGGCACTCTGGGGTTGGTTCTTAAGTTGTTACTCTTCCCTAATTCCTTCCCCCAGGGTTGGTTCTTTTATTCCACTTTTACCTGATTCCTCCCCAGTGGCCCTCCACCCCCAATTTGAAAGAAAAGGTGTTTGCAGTGAGTTGAGATACCAATTTTCTGGCATGTTGGCCCATAGACTAAATTCACAAGGTTCCAGATCACAGGGTGTCTTTGATAACTTACCCCAATATGTTCTCTAAATACTAATAATGAAAATGAATAACAGCGTATATAATCCACTGCTTAGTAGAATTTAATGTAAATGCTCTTTGTGGATATTCTATTAGAGAAATATTTGTTGATTTGAAGTGCATAAATTGCTATATACATGGTATATACATGATAGCTGTTATTACTTGTGCTGGCCACTGTGCTAGAGGAGATAAACGTTCAGGTAAGATGCATCCCCTGCCTCAGAGATCTTATTGGTCTCGTAGGAGGGTAAGACAGCAACACAGATAATGTAATACACAATGTTACTGGATAAATACATTAGAGAGATGTGTGATGAGTTTTGAGGGCACAGGTCCTTACCAAGTGGTGGGGAGAGAGGAAAGGAGAAAGCTCTCTCACCTCACTCCGGGAAACTATTTTAGTCTTGTGAGTTATTATAAAATGTCTAATGAACAAATAAATCTGCGCTTCAAGGAAGTAAAGCTCCATCTCTCTGTACTCTGTCTTGACTACCACATCCATTCTAGTGGCTTTGTTTAGTAATGTGGATGACTCTCAAATCTTTGTACTATGTCTTACCATCACTCAGTGCACCAAGCCTGCTTTTCCACATGTTTGCTTCTCACCTTTACCTAGATGTTCCCGTGCCATTTCAAACTCCACGTGTCTAAAACATCATCTTCCCTCCAGAATCTGACCGACTAGCCTTCTAATGCCCCCGTTGGTGCTAACCATTCTTCTAGGCATGAAACTTCAGTTTGTCCTAAGTCAGGTCCTTGCCACTATTAGTATCTCAGAATCTCCCATCCTCTGTCTTCCTCACTCCCTTGTTACTTGCTACTTTAGTTAGCATTTAATTACTTCTTTCTTATACTATTGTAATAACCCCCTGTCTTGGCCTCCTTTAAATTGGCACATCAACTGCTGCCTTCAGGGTAAGCAGGCTACAATGACTACCATAGTATAAACAATAGCTCTAAAAAGGCAAACTCTTACAAGGTGTAATGAAGACTATCTTAGGAAAAAATGATGATATATATTTTCCTCTCAGAAAGGTGGAGGACTTAAATATAAACGTGTAACATAAAGAAATTTGTAAACTGGTTGACATCACCTGTTACTTCTGTTTATTACTGAACATACTTAAAATAGTTTTCTTAAATGTTAAAAATGTAAAGTAAAAAATGGCCAATTCTTTTCCAATATTTAAAAGTTTCCAAGTAACCACTTTTTAATTTCTTTAAATGAAACAAGATCAAACTGTATTCCGGTGGGCGGGGTGGATTTCTGTAGTTTATGGCTTAAATCCTACTGAATGGCTTTTCCTGAAGTGTCTGTTACTTTTGGCCTACTACAAAGGGTAGATGTTTTCACTCCAATAAGGAATATTTTGAGAAGCATAAAGTAATTTTTTTTTTTTTAGGCAGTTGTGGGAGGTTAAGTAACTTGCCCAGGGTCATACATCTAGTAAGTGTCAAGTGTTTGGTCTAAGGCTGGATTTGAACTCAGGTCCTCCTGACTTCAGGCCCGGTGCTCTATCCACTGCGCCACCTAGGTGCCCCCTCATAAAGTGATTTTTTTAAATGGCTGTAATGACAGAAACTTTTGACTAAAGTTTATGTTTTAAATATTTATTCTAGCAATCATAGTTCACTTAATTCAGGTTCACTGAGGACAGTGAGGGAAAAAAGAAAGGGAAAAATATAGAAGGAAATGAGAACATAAGTAGGAGTCATTAAAGAGATCATATTCATTATTTCAATTTCTTTAAATTAAACCAGTTCCCCACATTTTCCCATTAACAATAGTGCGGAGGTTGTTTGACTATGTAAATAAGGAAAAAAAGCCACAGTACTTACTTTTCTTGAAAGTATCTGAGTAAGGTTTCCAGGTATGTCTAGTGTTTTTAAACTGCTCATTGAGCAGAGCACTTAAGTGACAAATAAAAAAAGATAAAGTAAAACTTTAAAATATCTATAGAATTTAAATATAGAGACCTAATTTTTAGGTCAAACTTAGTAAAGAATGTGATCATTCAAATTAGCAAATAAAATCATTACCAAAAATAAAAAAGGTAAAGGACTATAGATATGGAATTCAATATTATTTGGAGCTATTAGGATTATTTTGTTGGTTGTCATTGCTTAAAATTTTTGATTCGTTGCAAGAAAAGGCCAGGGAATGTTTAGGAGAAATGACAGACTTAAAAAAAGACAACAATAAAACCAAAAATTTTTAAAAAAATTTTTAAAGGGAAGCAGACAAGATTCAGTCAAAGACTTGATAGAATCGCCTAAGTATAAAGTGAGGAGTCCAAAAGTCAGGATTGTTGTGTGCTTCTCTGTTCCTGCCTTTAAAAAAAACAATAAATTAGTCTATAAAGTATCAACAGATAAATGTGACGTAGCCTTACTTTTTATTGGCAAAAACACAGCATTCTTTTAAGTTACTTTGTATTTATAATTATAGATGAGTTTCGATGATAAGCTTTCTTGCAAACATTTTACACAAATCATATTATAGTGGATTTATCTCCAGAAAATTACATTTGAAGTACATTTAACTTAATAAATATATAAAGACAACATATATTAAAATATTAATCTTTAAAAATTTCTCCATAGAAAACAAAATCAGAGTCTCTCAGCTGCCCCACCTTGATGAATCACTTCTTGAAGATCTTGGAGTAAGGTAAGTGTATTGCTCTTTGAAGTGTATCAAAGCACAATTAAGATAATTCCCATTTAATGTTTTCTTCTTTTTGGATTATTATTTGAGTTCTTAATTTTTTATTAATTTGTAGACAGAGATAAAAGACAAGATCATAGTAATGTTGTCTGCACAGAAACATCTCTTTTTATGTGGAAGAAATTTGTCAGTGGGAAAGTGACATTCAATATATTTTAAATCTGGTCTGTCTTAGTTGAAAAATTTTGCTATGGAGTAAATGTTTTTTTAGTGGCCAGCTTCTCACTCTGAGTTATTTTAGAGAGCAACAGATTATGTACAAAAGTGTTAGGGAATAGTATTTGCAAGATGACCTAAGGCTGCAGACATAACTTAAATATTTCAAGTATTTATGTCACCTGGTTAGCAGTTGATTTTAAATCTTCATGTTTTGAAAAGCCATAATTTCCTGGTAATTTAATTTTGAAAAAAAGAAAACCAAGTATCATTAGCAAGGTTCAATTGTACCTTTTAAAGTTTGTGTAATTTTATCCCGGGATCAACAGCTAATCTCTTTTAAGACTCTTGCCTAAGATTTCATTGGTGTTCTATTCAAAGGTGCTTCTTAAGCAGTTTCTTCAGGGTTTGGAATTAGCCTCCTTTAGGGCTGGTAATCTTGGGGTATAAAATCTTGTTAGGGACCCAATATTTCCAGTTTACTCCACTTTATGGTGTTGTGGAAAAGTTACTAGACTGACAATCAAGAGATCTTCTGTTACTAGCAGTGTAACCTTGGGCAGCCAGGCAGTCAACAAGCATTTATTGTTTGCCAGAAAATAATGATAGAAAGGGAAAAAAATGATGTAGTCCATCTGCTCACAGACAGACAACATTTAAGTGTATCCAAAGTAAACACAGGGTAAATCTGGAGGAGAGTCACTAGCATGTCCTGGGAGGATCAGGAAAGGCCTCATTTAAGAGGTAGTATCTGAACTAAACTCCAATGGAAATACTAAGAAATGGGGGTGAGGAGGGAGTTCATTCTAGGAATGGGGGCAGCTCATTCCAAAACAGAGAGGAGAGATGGAGTTTTGTGTGTGAGGAAGAGATAGGAGTTCAGTTTTGCTGGAGCAAAGAGTGTGTGAAAGAAGTGATAAGTGATAAGGCTGGAAAGGAAGTTTGGGGCCCAGCCATGACGGGCTTTACAGGATAAACAAAGAAACCTGTATTTGATCTTAGTGGTAATAGGGAGGAGCCACTGGAGTTTGAGTGACATGGTCAGAGCCACGTTTTAGGACTGTCTGTCACTTTGGCAGTGGTTTGGAGAATGGATTGGAGAGGAGAGAGATGAGGTGTGGAGACCATTTAGAAGGCTGTGACAGTAGTTCAGGTGAGAGGTAATGAGAGCCTCAGTTGAGATGTTAGCTATGTGAATGGAGAGAAGGGCTCAGAATTATGAATGGTGTAGAGGTAGTATCCAAGAGACTTGGCAGGATTTGTTGGGTGAGGGAGAGTGAGGAGTCCGAGATGACTTCAGAGTTTTAAGCCTAGATGACTGGCTAGATTGGGATGCCATGAACAGAAACAGGTCAGTTCAGAAGAGGGGTATCCTTGAGGGGAAACGCCAGTGAGTTGTTTTGGACGTGTTGAATCTGAGAAGCCTGTGAGAGAAACATCCAGCTGGAAATGTCCAATGGGTAATTGGGTGTGGTGCTGAAGAACTGGGGTTCAGGAGAGGGCCCATAGCTGGATATATAGATCTAGGACCCATCTGCATGATTATTGAACCCATGGGAGCTAATAAAATCACCCAGATAGTGGTAGAGAAGAAGGCCTAGGACAGAATCCATAGTTTGGGAGTATGAAACAGATAAACATTCAGTCAGTTAGTAAACAGACAAAAAGCATTCATTAACCTCCTACCATGTGCCAGGCATTGAGCTAAATGTAGTGATACAAAGAGAAAGGTAAAAGACAGTCCTTCCTGTGAAGGAGCTAACTGTCTAAAGAGGAAGCCAGCATGTAAACAGCTATCCACAAACAATGTACAGGATAAACTGGAGAGAGTCAAAGGAAGGACAGTACTAGCTTTAAGGGGGATTGGGAAAAGCTTCTTGTAAAAAGTGAGATTTGAGCTGAGACTTGAAGGAAGCTCTGAAGTGGAGATGAGGAGAGAGAGTTCCAGGTATAGGATTCAGCCCATGAAAATGCCCAGAGTCAGGGAAATGGAGATCTTCTTCAAGGAACAACAAAGTGAGTAAAGTATAAGGAGACTTTAAAGCTAGGAGGAAGGAAGGTTATTAATGGCTTTACTGAGAAGCGGTCAGACAAGTAGGAACTGAGAACTGAGAGAGCCCTATCTAGACCTCAGTTTACTTTTCTGTAAAAAGAAAGGTTTGTGGGTTTTTTTTCCCCCAGTGCTAATATTTCACACTGGAGCCTAGTGGAATAGCACTTCTTTGGGGTGTTGGAGAGAATGGTCAAATTAAAACTTTTACCAAAAGACAGGTGGTCAGTCATTGTTACTTTATCAATAGTTCCTCATAAATAGTTTCAGTTTCTGCTGCTAAAATGGTCAGGGCAGATAAAGAAGGAAAAAATGTGGCATAGGGGAAAGAGAGAGTTAGAGATGGAGATTTGAATCCAGGCTCTGACACTAGCTATGTGACTCCAATGATCACTTTGTCTTTCATTGCCTCAGTTTTTTTTTTCCCCCAGAATCCACTTCTACAAAGTTAGGTGATAATAATTGCACTAGTTACCTTTACAGAGTTGTTGTATGGAAGGAAAGCACTTTGTAACCTTAAAATGTGGTATAAATGTGAGCTGGTGGTGTAATTATCAGACATAAAGTAGCCTATAGTACGTTCTTCTCTTCCTCCAATCACCACTGAAAATATATTTTTAAAAAACAGCAACAACAACAAGAAGACATCTTGGTGTAGTGAATAGAAAGCAGGCTTAGGATCAAGAAAGCTTAAGTTTGTATCCTGCTTCTGACACTGAGTTCTGTTGGTTAGAGTGTGGTGGTGTTAATAATACCAAGGTTACAGATTTGATCACTATATGGGTCATGAAAAAAAGGAAATATTTGGGGGCAGTTAAGTGGCACAGTGGATAGAGCATTGGGCCTGGAGTCAGGAAGGCTTATCTTCCTGAGGTCAAATCTGGCCTCAGACATTTACTAGCTGTGTGACTCTGGTCAAGTCTCTTAACCCTGTTTGCCTCAGTTCCCTTATCTGTGAAGTGAGCTGGAGAAGGGGAAAACCACTCCAGTATCTTTGCCAAGAAAACCCCAAATGGGGTCACAAAGAACTTGAAGTGACTGAACAATGGCAAATCTGACACTCAGTGAGTGATCCATGGGCAAATCTATTAACTTCTCAATCATCCCGTCCCATTCGTCCTGTCCTTTCCAGAGCACCCCCTTTCCCCACCCCTTGAAGACTCGATTAAGATTAAGTCTTGGAGCAGATCATGATCTGCCTGGGTGGGAGAAGTTCCTTCAGCAGAACCAGTCCGAAAGAGATCAAGTACCTTCTTGTGACAAGTGTTGATTATCAGTGTATTATTGTTGAAATATCCTCAGATACTCTGAGATACCCTCAGGGGCCAGGCCTCTGATAAATAGACCAGGCTTGGAAGGATTTTGAACCAGCCACATCCAGTGAGGTGACTATTTATATATTAATTGTTGCGTGTATCTGGAATGAAACTACTTCAGCAGAGAGTGAGCAGTCCTAGGACCAAGGGATGTCAGTCAACTGGAGAGAGTCTGGATTCCAGAACTGACTCAGCCATGGTTGTGTTAGGAAAAATTCATATCACCATAGTCAACTGGTATTTATTGTGGACTAAGTGCATTGGGGGGCAGCTAGGTGTATCAGTGAATAGAGAACTGGGCATGGAATCAGGAAGACTTGTCTTCATGAGTTCAAATCTGGCCTCAGACACCTATTAGCTGTGTGACTTTGGGCAAGTCACTTTACCTTGTTTGCCTCAGTTTCTTCATCTGTAAAATGAACTGGAGAAGGAAAGGTCAAACCACTCCAGTTTCTTTGTCAGGAAAACCCCAAATAGGGTCATGAAGAGTCAGACACAACTGAAAAACAACTGACCAACAACAAAGTGTATTGGGGACACAAAAGAAATAGAGCATTTTGTCAGTTTAGCTTTTAGATGGCTGTCAAGACTAACCAGCCAGCTATCCTGTGAGTGTGCTTAGAAACCTTATTTGCTTGGGAGATTTATTGAAGTGTTTTTTAAGTTATTAATGGTTCTTAGTGATCTGTAGGTAATTGACTTGATTTTTAAATCATTCCTAAGCAGTGTCACATACTCTATTAAGCAAGTTGTGACTTTTGTTTTTTGGTGTTTGGTGACTCTCCCAGGTCTTTAGGAGACAGACAGAAGCTGCTGGATTGTATCTGTAAACTGAATCAAAGCCATGATGACGCAATGAAGGTAAGTGGGAGTTAGTTTTTAATGTTGGCCTTTAATATTACTCTCTTTGAAGGACCTCAGTTTCCCTTTACCCATTTCATGTTTGATTCATGTATCAAGAATGTAAAATATGTTACTGAAATAAAAGTTGTCATTCAACATAGCCTAGATCACAGGTTTTGGGTTTTTTGGTTTGTTTTTTTAATAAAGTTTGAGGTGTTAGTAAATTTAATGTTGTATACTAGAATGTGCTGTTACTTTGCTACAGAGAAAGATATAGTTCTTTTTTCATTTTTCACTCCATTCAAACCTCCAGTGTTTAGGTTTTCAAGGTTCTGACTTATTAGTGTTTATTGAAGTTTCCTAATCCTTTTCCAGTGGGTTGAGAAATGGAGTATTGGGTTTGGTTTTGTTAGAGAGAGACTAAAGTAGTGGGCCTGCCTTGCTATATCTCATCTTTTCGGATGAGCAGTACTTTTCAGCAGATACATTCTAAATGTTGAATGTGGCATTTATTACATTTTTTAAAAGAAAGGAAACTATGTACCAGAGATTTAGAGTTTCATGTGCAAACATGGGTAGCTAGGTGGTACAGTGGAGAAAGTGTTGGGCCTGGAGTCAGGAAGAGCAGGTTCCCCACCCCTGAGTCCTAGACTCTTTTTTTTTTTAAACAGCATTACACTATTTAATGAAATGGTTGTACAATTAGCCACAAAAGAGCTGTGCCCCTACCCCCACCCCACCATAGGAAAGCTGTATTAGACAGGGACTAGGAAGGTGGTTGTTTTCATTTCCCCATCCCCAGAGGCTTAAAGGAAACACTTAGCCTTGTTCCCCCAACTGTTTAATGTGTGGAAGACGATACACAAACACCACCTGCAGGAGAGACTGTCCTTTTGCATGAGCTTCTTATCAGTAAAGAGGGATGGCACAACCACACACTCAAGCAGATAAATCTGGACTACATAGGGGTCAGAGACTCTCCCTGCATTTCTGCTCCCTTTTCTAGTGTCATCATTGTAGCCTCAGTCGATAGGTTCCCTCTACCCTAACTGGGTTCTCCTGCATAGTTTATTGCCAGTAGGACAATAGCCCTTGGGGAACAGCAGTCAGTCCTCTGTTGGATAATAATCCAGATGCATCAGGGCTGGCCCAACTGGCCTCTGCTTGTTGGCAACGGTTCTTTGCCTCAGCTGATGAAGTGTAGAAGCAATGGGACAGAGCACTGGGCTGATGGGTGTTCCTTGCTTTGTGTGTCTTCATCCTCAAGAGCAGCTTTGTGGTTAGCAATCGCATTCACCTTTCCCAGGGCACTCTGTAGTCAGGCTGCTACTTAGTCTCCACAGCATCGTGGCTAGGATACTCACCTTGTCTTCCGTAGGTGACAGTCTTCATTAGACAGGATCCCTGCAGACCCACAGATTAAAGGATGCTAAGGGTCACATTGTACTATTCCTTCTAGCTTTGACAGCTGTTTCTCAGGCTCTGCAGTTTGTCAGCTTGGGGAAACTTGTCCTGCTCAGGATGATAATGTAGCTCATATGTGTCTGGCACTGTCTTTGGAGGGGTGGAGAAGAAGAGTTGCATTCTCATGCCCTGCACCAACCCTTATGCTGCTCTATGCTGATTCTAGCTGTGCTGGTAGATGGTTGGCCAAGACTCTATCAGGGTCGGTGGGGTTGCTACTGGGATCAGGTTAGATGGGAGGTAACTAGCCACTGCCTCAGGACAGCTAGCTGTTTAGCCAGAACCTCAGGAGTCAGCTTCTCAGCAGCTATTGCCTTTGTCTTTCCCATCTCAGTAATTAGCTCTTGAACCTCATGCAACAGTGGCTGGTACTTCTGTTGGGCCCCCAGCATTTCAAACTCCACTCTATATTCTGCCCTTTTGGTTTTCCCAATACAATGTGAAAAGCCAAGCCCCTTGATTCATACCCTCTTGTCAATGAATTTGTTATTGGCCACATCAGGGTTGACAGCAGTGCACTCTATAATTGTGCTTGTCATCTCTTCCAAATCAGATTCTGTTTGGTTGTCTTCAGAGAGGGCACTGGTTTCTTAAAAATCTAGTTGTTTTCTGGTAGTGCCAGGGAGATTGGCATTTTTGGGGTCTTCTACAACCATGCCAGAATAGGGCATGAAAGATGGGGTTGAGGGGAGGGGACTGATGCCTTAGTTTGTCTTAAGTTTGAACCATGGAAGAAACTGGTCTAGGCCCTGGACTAAGATAGCTGTATTAGTTGGGCCATTCTGACTCACGTATAACATTTTTGCTCCCATGTAGTCATAGCTTTCAATTGTCATTGGCAGTGTTTAAAGAAGTAGTGATAGTCAGTGAGCTCCTGTGGATTCAGTCTTAGCTTTTATGGAATAACTAAGGAAGTTTATGCAAGGATACCATTCTCTAGTGTTACTGTCAATCAGGTGTGTAATCAAGAAGTTATGCTTGTATACAATCAGTTGTTTGGTTGGTACTGACCCTCAAGCATTGGTATTTCAAGCAAGTCCTGGAATCCATCCCTAGTGCTGAAGTTGTGATTAGAATTCTTCTCCGCATGTTCTTTACCCATTTCACAGTCATCATTTAGGCATGATCACTTGCTCAGACTTTTTAAATTGAAGTCCTTGAGATCATGTACACTTTCAGTTCTCCTTTTCTTATCTCAGAGAGGCAACATGATTCTGTCCACCGAGTCTTGTGACGTGGTTTTCATTTCCACCTCTGACACGTACTAGTTGTGTGACTGAGCACGTTTGGTAACCCCCTCACTACCACTTCTTACACTTCTTACCTTGAAATCACAGGCTCAGACCTGGACTTATACATTTAGCGAGACAGACAGAGCTAGATAAAGGGGGCTTTGCTTAAGGCACCATATCTAATGCTGAGGATACAAATATAAGTAAGCAAGATGGACCCCACCTTCAGGGAGTTTACCTTCTAATAGTAGAAGACAACACAAAATGTTAATCTCATATATAAACAGAATCACCTTTGTTACCACTGTTAATGTCACAACTACATCTATATGTAGGTGACTTAACAGCATTTCTGATCTCTTCTCCCTTGATTGTCATTAAGACCAATCGCAGCTTTTGGCAGATTTCGTATTGTATTTTTTTTCATTAGAAATATTTATTGGGGCCGATAGGTGGTGCAGTGGATAAAACACTGGCCCTGGAGTCAGAAGGACCTGAGTTCAAATCTGGCCTCAGACACAATACTCACTAGCTGTGTGACTCTGGGAAAGTCACTTAACCCCAATTGCCTTACCAAAAAAAAAAAAAGAAATATTTATTAATAATGGTTCTTTTGAAGTGTTGTTATTCCTCTTGAAACTTATTGCCTTCCCTCTCCCACTTAATATTATTTTATTTTTTCCAGTTACATGTAAAGATAGTTTTCAACATTCACTTTTATAAGATTTTGAGTTCCAAATTTTTTTCTTCCTCCCTTCCTTGTCTCTAACATGGCAAGCAATCTGATACAGACTATACATGTACAATCATATTAAACCTATTTCCATATTAGTCATGTTGTGAAAGAAGAATCAGAACAAAAGGGAAAAACCACGAGAGAGAAAATTTTTTAAAAAAGAGAGAGAGAGAAAATAGTATGCTTCAATCTGCATTCAGACTCCATAGCTGTTTCTCTGGATGTGGATAGCATTGTCCATCATTTCATATTGTATTTTTAAATCAACTGTACAACTTCAACTGCAATGTCATATTTTCTTTGAATGTACTTGGGTTTTCAGTATTGCTATTCAACACTGATTTTGTAACTTTTTAACTCAATGTGGTGACTTTACTGAAAGGTACAGGTGATCCAAATGAGAAGGTCAGTTTTATTTGGTACTCAAGGTTACGCTATTAAGGCTAGTCAACCAAGGTAGTCAAAAGATGAAGCAAATGAACTTTCTGTCTAATTTGATTGTTAATGAATGGACTTGTCCCAGAACTATGTAATTGTATTACTTGGAGGGAATCATTGGTTTATATGGTATCTTAAATACCTGAATAGCTTTGGTCTTCCTGGTTTGACTAGGCATAGTTACATGGGATTAAAAGAATGTGTTATTACCTTTAACCTATGCATAAGTTGTTTTCATATACAACTGATAACTTCAGATAAAGTAATAATCATCATTTTCCAGATATTTAATGATCCTATTCATGGCCACATAGATCTTCACCCTCTTCTTATCCGAATCATTGATACACCTCAGTTTCAACGTCTTCGATATATTAAACAGCTGGGAGGCTCTTACTATGTTTTTCCAGGTGCTTCGCACAACCGATTTGAGCATTCTCTAGGGTAAGGAAGAAATATGCACCTACAGGTATTAGAAATGAGTAGTTCTTTAAGTGTTTCCATTACAAAGAGCTTATGGTTAAAGCCTGTCATGATTATCTGTTTTAGTAGTTTAATTGTTGTATTTAACTGAGTTTCTTCTAGCATCGTTAAACATTATTATGATATGATTTGTTTCCTACTTGTGTACCTCCTGAGAGTGGTGGTTGGGCTGGTAAAACAATTAAAAATTTATCTTCAGGGTATTTCAGGGACCCTCTTTCTTTTACCTTCTTATTGACATTATAGTTTATAAATATTAAGCCCTTCAATTTTTGTACTATCTGCTTATTCTTATATAGATTGAGCGTTTGAAACCAAATTACTAAATAATGTTTTAGGAAAAATATCAATTTGAAAGACAAGATTAGAGTGGTAACAACAGTTAGAGCGGTCTTTTTCTGAATAGCATGGAGGAAATGCTGCTGGGTGGCAAGAAGTGTAGATAGTTTCCAATTTTTCTTTTGAGACAGTTCTTTCTAATATAACTTTTGTTATGTGATATCATGTGAATTATTAGAGAATCACATATAATCCATATTGAATTGTGAACATAAAAATTATACATAAAAGTGCCCTTTTTGGGGGATTATCCTTTATGCTCCTTTCCACGTGTTCAGAGAATTGAGGGTGACTAGAATTTTAAGGTTACTCTGAAACAGAAGATTCTTAACCTTTTTGGTGTGTGTTATGGATCCCTTTAGCAGTGTGGTAAAGCCTATAGACTCCTCAAAAGAATATTTTTAAATACATGAAATAAAATGCATAGTGTTACAGAAAAAAAGATTATAGTGAACTGTAATTATCAAAAAAAAGTTTAAAAAGTTCAGGGACCCAGGATAAGAACCTGTGCTCTCCAGAAATATAAGCAAATATAACAGGTTGGATTACGGTTCTCTGGGGCCTGAAGAGAGGAATAGTTTGAATCAAAGAACATCCTCCCTCTGATTACTTAAGGTCCTTGACAGTCACAGTGGCGTGTAGGGGGAGGCATGGCCTCCAACGGGTCAAAAGTCACACAGGATTATATGTACAAAAGGTCCATTCTTGATTGAAGAAACAGAATAGCTCCCAAAAGGAAATTTTATTTTCTTCTTGCTTGGCAGCGTCGGGTATCTAGCAGGATGTCTGGTCCGTGAACTACAAGAAAAACAGCCTGAACTAAAGATAACTGAGCGGGATGTGCTTTGTGTTCAGATTGCTGGGCTCTGTCATGATCTAGGTAAGCATATGCAAGGAGCTAAAGGAGTTGACATGATTTATATAACTATTTGGGGATATGTTATTGTTCTGTTATTTTTTAAAACAGACCAACTGGGGAATCTAGTGTACAGCAGCAATCTTAAGTTCTCTTTTATAATACCTCGGTGACTTATCATCATAAAAAATATGTCATGGTTTTCCTCTTTAATTCTAGAGTACATGGCATAGCTCCCATAGTCAAGTCCTGTTGCCTAGGTTGAGCATTTCTGCTATAGTATGCTGTATTAAAGGGTCAATTGGATTATGAAAGTCTTCTGATCAATATGTCCCAGTGGATATTTTGACCTTTTGCCTGTTAACCATCCTGAATCCATCTTTCTTATGTTCAGAATACCTGAGATTTTTTGAACAAGAAGATTCTCAAGTTGGGGGTAGGAGAAAGGTGGTGCTAATCCATGTGAGTGTAAGGCTAAACAACAGCCCTTAAGACTTTAAAAAAGGACTTGTTACACTTGTTATTTGTAATATTAATAATCCTGTTGGCAACCCAATATACTCTTGCAGCTATTTGTGAAGCTAGGTAATCACTACACCTGGAAGGGACCATAGATATCTGACTTGTGAGGAAATCTAGTTCTTTGGGTTACTCTCTTTCCTCTGTATTCCTTAGATATTAGGAAGGAAATGTTTCTCACAGTCCACAGACTGTGTCCCTAGCCCATTGACCAGGCTAGGTAAGTTTGGAACAGATTACCACTAGAAAGTTGGCCCTTCCTCATTTCTCAATCATTCCCCCAGTTGATAAATAGTCAAAGGATATGGTCAAGCAGTTTTCAGAAGAAGAAATCAAACCAATCAGTAGTCATAGGAAAAAATGCTCTGAATCACTAATAATTGGAGAAATACAAATTAAAACAACTCTGAGGTACTACCTCACACCTATCAGATTGGCCAGTATGACAGAAGAGGAAAATGACAAATGCTGGAGGGGGTGTGGGCAGATAGGAAAACTGATGTACTACTGGTGGAGTTGTGAACTGGTCCAACCATTCTGGAGAATGATTTGAAACTCCCAAAAAGCCATAAAACTGCATACCCTTTGACCCAGCAATACAGGCCACTAGGTAGGTCTGTATCCCTGAGAGATGAAAGAAAAAGGAAAAGAGATAAAAAAACAAGAAGGAAAAGAGCCTTTATGTAAAAAAATATTAGTAGTAGCTCTTTTTCAGGTGGCAAAGAATTGAAAATTGAGGGGATACCCATTAATTGGGGAATGGTTGGACAAGTTGTGATATGTGATTGTGACAGAATACTATTATGCTATAAGAAATGAGGAGAGGATAGTTTCAGAAAAGCCTGGGAAGACTTATATGAACTGGTGCAAAGTGAAGTGAACAGAACTAGGAGAACATTGTATCCATTAACAGCAATATTGTACCATGATAAACTGTGAAAGACTTAGTTACTCTAGTCAATATAATGATTTAAGAAAATTCCAAAGCACTTACAGTGAAAAATACTATCTACCTTCAGAGAAAGAACTGATGGAATCACAATGCAGATCAAAGCATACTTTTCTAAACTTTATTTTTTGTCTGTTTTCATTTGTAATATGGCTAATATGGAAATATGTTTTGCATGACTACACATGCATAATCTATATAAAATTGCTTGCCTTTTCAAGAGAAGTGATGGGGACAGCTAGGTGGCACAGTGGATAGAGCACTGGCCCTGGATTCAGGAGGACCTGAGTTCAAATTCGGCCTCAGACCAAACACTTGACGCTTACTAGCTGTGTGATCCTGGGCAAGTCATTTAACCCCATTGCCTAACCTCCCCCCCCCAAAAAAAAGAAAGAAAAGAAAAGACAAGTGATGGAAGGGAAGGAAAGAATTTGGAACTCAAAATTTAAAAAATCAAATGTTAAAGTTTGTTTTTACATATAATTGAGAAAAAATTAAATGAAAAAAAAGTTGGCCCTTAAGTGATGAAGTATTTTGCTCACAGCAACTTGAGAAGACTGTCTTCTCAAACCTGGAGGAAGATATGTGTTTTGATGAGGCCATAGATCTTTTGAAGGATTGAAATCAATTAAGTTTGAATGAAGAAGAATGGAAAAAATGAATTTATGCTTCTCAGTAGTGTGAACCAGTGTTTCTTATTCTCTTCTTTTTTAAGGTCATGGACCATTTTCACACATGTTTGATGGAAGATTTATACCCCTTGCTCGCCCAGAATTGAATTGGAAGGTATGTGATATAGTCATGTTTTCATATAGAATAAACAGATGAAGTATTTATTAAGTACTTACTCTGTATCAAGCACTGCACAAAGTTCTGGGGATACAAATACAAGCAAAAAAGACAATCCCTACCCTCAGAGTGCTTATATTCTAATGAGGGAAGAGGGCCTAGAAGACATGGGGAGAGAGGAGGAGCAGGCCCCCTGGCAGCATGTCTCCAGGGCATGCAGGAGCTGAAAGGCCCAGAGAGGGAGGAGTGAACCCAGGAGTGGAATGGGCGTGGCCTAGGGCCCTCTAGAAACTCGTTAATTAGGAGATACAAGAAGCTACCATGGCGTCTTTTAAATAGTCGACTATACTGTTGTTTTTGTATCACCTGTATTTTCCAATGTACCCTCTTCTTCGCAGAGAACAGTCTCTTATAACAAAAGAAGGAGAAAAACTAACCACCACAGCAAAGAAGTCTGACGTTATAAGTAGTGTCACACGCTGAGTCTCCTACCTCTAAAAAGAAGCAGGAGGTGGCATTTTCTCAAGTTAACTCATAATTTTGCAGCATTCAGTTTTTAATTTTTTTTTTGTATTTTCATTGTTGATATCATTTTGTATGTTGTTTTCCTGGTTCTGTTTACTTCATTTTTCATCAGTTCCTGTGTCTTCCTGTGCTTCTTTGTAGTCATATTTTTCATTTCTTATAACCCAGAAATATTCTATAACATTTGGGTACTATATAGCTTGTTTAGCTGTTTCTCAATTTGATGGGCACCTACTTTGTTTCCGGTTTTTTGCTATTATTAAAAGTGCTACTATTAATATTTAGCTGTATTTGGGGCCTTTCTTTTTGTCAGTGACCTTCATGGGGGTATATGCCCAGCAAGTGGAACCTCTGGGTCAAAGGGTATTAAATTGACTTTTTGTAATTGGGTGCTTTATGGTTAAACCTCAAATGTTTTAGGACATAGAACTTTGAAGCAGCTCATTTTAAAATTTGACAAGATAGGTAAAAAGAAATCTACAAGTATATTATTTTTAGAGAATAAAATAAAACTAAATATCTTAAAAAAGAGATTAGATTTATTATGCTTGGTCCCAAAAGGCAGAGCAACTAAAAGCAATGGGGAGAAGTTACAGGGAAGTAAATTTCAGCTTGATATAAGGGAATATGACATAATAGAGTTGTCTGATAACTATATGGGTCTCCTAAGAAGGTGAGGTATTCCCTCACTCATTGGGGATGTTCTAGCCAATGGTGAACTTGTCAGTCATGGAGCAGAGGATGTTTTAGCTTTGGGCCAGGCCAGGTGTTCTCCAAGGCTTTTTTTTGCTCGACTATTTGGTTATACAATTAAAATCTAGTAGGACAGGTGGAATGTGCGCAGTTGACTACAAGTTAGTGATGATTCACATTCATCTAGCATATTCATGTTTACAGAGTGCTTTCCTCAAGACAGCCCTGTGAGGTAGATGGGACGTAGTTCAAGTATTCTCTCCATTCTACCGATGAAGAAGCTCAAAACTGAAAAAAGTCAAATGACTTTGCTAAGGTCACACCTAGTGGATATCTAAGTCTGAACTTGAATCCAGGTCTTTTGGCTTCAAGTTCAGTACCCTTTCCCCTCTACCATACTGCATTTCTCAAGTGAGAATATAAGTGTAGAAAAGAATTACGAATGTGGTTCTGTCAGTTCATGGCAAAATAGATCAGTTATAGCAGTTTGTAGAGTAGAAGGAGCACTACATGTGAAGTCAGGACCAGGGGTCCAGTCCTGGCTCTGCCACTTCTCAGCTGTGTGATCCTAAGCAAGTCACCTAACTTCTCTGGGACCTCATTTTGCTCATCCACTTTTGGGGTGGAGTCTAACAAAAGGGTTGGATTGGATGAGCTCAGGGACCCTTCCAGCTGTAAGTCGGTGATCCTGTGAAATACCTATAGGTGGGCTGTTAGATAACAGCTCAGGTGGGGAAGGATCCCCATCTGGCCTCTGTGGGCCCTTCCAGCTCACAGAATTTTAGAACTACTTTTAGAATTGCCTGCAACCTGTGTACATCCTTTTGCACACGAGTGGTAGCAAATCTTTCTCCTTTTTTTAAAATTTAATTTATTTAGTATTTTGTTTCTCCCCAGTTGCATATAA